CTGCATTCTTAGGAGTCTGTCTTATATCCAGGCATGGCCCACGGCTAGTTTTTGCCATGGAATCTGAGAGGTGATGTGGTTAGTGCATGTGTGGCTTCTGTGCTCCTCTTTCCCCCTCTAGACACCCAGGAACCTGTGAGTTAATAATGGGGGAACTATAAAGTGGAAGAAGCCTTGGTCCCTTTTCACCATTGTCGTCTTTCAAGAGCAAGAAATAAACTTCTATTGTGGAAGCTGCTGGGACTCAGGAATCTATCTGTCAGCTGGAGTTGCTTCAACCATGCTCCAGCCCGACGAAGTAGACAACGTTACCCTCATGTTCAGTGGTACTCAAACTAGGGCTCAGAATGATGACGTGACTTGACAAGGAAACAAATTTGAAAGTGACAGAAGCAGAATTCTGGCTCCAAAGAAGTTGTATTTCCAAATGCTACATAGTATCTTATATAAAACTTTTGTTCAATTGTTTGTTGAACAAATCCATCTTTTTAAAACAAAGTCTTTAAATCAGAAGACACTTAAGAGATTATCCTCCTTAAATCTCTTATCTTCCCTCATCTCTTCGAAGATGAGAAGACAAAGCCTGGAGATGCCACGTGGCTGGCCCCTGAGATGGGACGCAGCAGGCCCAGAACCCAAGCCTCGTTTTCATTACCCAAATGCTCCTGTATGTCAACTTGTTTTTCAATCAAAACTGGTTTTCAAACATTTTTATATAATATCATCCATGACCATTGAATCACTGAAGGTAGAGTCTTCTCTTTAAAATAAAAAATAGAAAAAAAATTTAACTGTCTTAAAACACAACCCTTTGAGGCTTGCACATCATGATATACATGTACTTATAGATACTATAGATACGTGCGTGCGTGTGTATCTTATTCTAAGTCTCTTGTTCTATTGAGACTAAATTATCTTCATGCTACAAAAATAAAAGTGGCAGAGCATGAAACAGATGGAGAGTTAAAAGAATGAGCTGAGGACTCCGCATCTTGGCAGTTTGAAAATATGTTCTACTACAGTAATCATATTTATAGAAAACAAATAATGGCGACACACATGTTTATTTCTCACTAGAATTCTCTGGTTTGGCTCATTTGTTCTCTAAGTAATACTGAACTTCTTTGCAATGAACAGTTATTTCCCCTGCTTTTTTTTTGGTAAGGTAGATTGGCCCTGAGCTAATATCCGTAGCCAATCTTCCTCTTTTTGCTTGAGAAAGAGTGGCCCTGAGCTAACGTCTGTGCCAATCCTCCTCTATTTGGTATGTGGGACACTGCCACAGCATGGGTTGATGAGCGGTGTGTAGGTCTGTTCCAGGGATCCGAACTTGTGAACCCCAGGCTGCCAGAGTAGAGTACAAGAACTTGACCACTAAGCCACTGGGCTGCCCCTCTCCATGATAAACTTTGATTTCAACTCAGCATTGTAGCATCTAGGGATCTCAGTCCTGGAATGGAATTTGAGGGCCTAGAACAAAGAGTGTCCCCAAGTTCTATTACCTGGGAATTACCTTAAAGCTATAACTACATACTAAATATGCTATTCATTTTAATTGTTTTTCTATAAATTAACTTTCAAACTAAAAGTTAACTTAAAAAATGATCGACTTTCTTGAGATGTAACCCATATAACATAAAATTTAGTCATGTAAATTCATTGACTTTTAGTGAATTTACTGAGTTGTGCAATCATAACCAAAATCAGATTTTAGAACATTTCCATTACCCCAAAAGGATCCTTCCTATTTTCACCCCTCAGCTCCTATTCTCAGCCCTAAACAAACAGTAGTCTACTTTCTGTCTCTTCTAGTCAGGACATGTCACATAAATGGAATCCTACAATATGTCGTCTTCTCTGTCTGCCTTCTTATGTTCCCTTCGAGGTCAATCAGTCTGTTCAACCAAAAACTGGGCTCAGGTCTCTCCTGGGACTCCTGAGGGAGCCGGTGGGGAAGCTACAGGTGAGACCTCAGCTCTTGGCTCTTGACTGCAGTCAGCCAGCCACACTGCGCCAGGTCTTTACGCATAGCACAGAAACAACCACGCTTGACCCTCCCCCAGGTTCACCAGCTGAAATCCTGTTATGACTGACTTCTTTCAACCACCTTCCTTGTGTAGATCGTACGTTTAGTGTCAAGTTTAAGAACTCTTCACCTAGTCCTAGCTTCTGAAGATTTTCTCCTATGTTTCTTTCTAAAAGTTTTGTAGTTTTGCTCTTTCCATTCAAATCCGTGATTTGTTTTGCATGATTTGGGCAAGGTGTGGGATTCAGGTTGAGCTTCTCTTTTTGCCTAGAGATACCTATCTAAGCCAGCTTGGGCTGCCCTAGCACAATACCATCGACTGGGTGGCTTACACAGCACGCATTTGATTTCTCACAGTTGGGGGGCTGGCAGTCTTCGGTCAGGCTTGGGTTCCTGGTGAGGGCTCTCTTCCTGGCTTGCAGACAGCTGCCTTCTCACGGTGTCCTCACTTGGGGAGAGAAAGGCTCTCTCTCTTCCTCTTCTTATAAGGCCACCAATCTTATCAGATTAGAACCCTGTCCTTATGATCTCATTTAACCTTAAAAACCTCCTAAAAGGCTGTCTCCACATGGGGTCACATTGAGGGTAAGAGCTCCAACATAGAAATTTTGGGGGACACAATTCAGTCCATAACAACATCCGATGGCTCCAGCACCAGTTGTTGAAAACGTTTGTTCCTACACTGAATTGCTTTTGCACCTTTGTCAAAAATCATTTGGACTTGGACTTGTGTGTGTGCCTCTGTTTCGGGGCTCTCTGTTCTGTCCCCTTGATCTGTGTGCCTGTCTCTTTGCCAATACCATACTCTCTTCATTACTGTGACTATATATTAAGCCTTAACATGGAAAATTCTTTATTCTTCATTCATATGTTTTCCTCTTTTTTAAAAATTATTTTGGCCATTCTAGCACATTTCTCTTTTAATATAAACTTTAGAATAAGCTTGTCTATGTCTACCAAACTGTGCTTGGGTTTTTATAAAAATTGCATTAAATCTATAGATCAATTGACTCCTATGGACTGACCAAATACGTGCACAGGCCTAGAGAGAGGATGTCAGGGGCTGCGGAAGTGGTGCAAGAGCACAGGTGGTCTAGGATGGGTTAACGTGCGTTCATCAGTGGGAGTTCGGCTTTTGGCCAAATGCAATTGAAGCTGACTCTGTCCACACCCTTGCTTCTAGAGCCTACTGTGTGCTCCTGTCAGAGCCTCTCAGAGTCCCCCAGGCCCATCACAAGGCTGGAATTTGAGTCCTCCTTGCTTCTTCTCCGGGTGGCCCTGGGGCGTGGCAACTCTAAACTTTGGGACCAATCTATCCTCAAGGATGAATCTCCAACTACCGTTGACCTTGGGCTGCCAAGTTCCATGAAAGCAACACACACGGAGAACGAGCTGGAGCAGATGGACCCGCTTCGTTATTCGCTGTGGCTTAGACTTGAGCCCGCTGTGGAGGCCCTGCTCCCGATGAAGAGAGCTGGGACAATGTTAAGGAATCTTTGTCTCTCCAGCTTCCAGTCTAGACTAGGAAATGCCCCAGCAGACAAATGGAGCTTCCTTTCCCTGAGCCCCTTTGTTGGTACCCTTGTGGTGTGTCCTTGACCTTCCCAGGGCACAGATACCCTTCCCTAGCCTCACAGGAGAAGAGATATTTCCAAAGCCAGATATAGAAGGAAATAAAGGGAAGAGCCAGAGACACCATGGCATTAGACTTGCAGGGTTGTCGGGTTTTTTAAAATCATTTTTCTTATCACACTGGAGGCTCTGCCAGGACCTGTGGCTCTGGGTTCCAGATCAGCACTTCAGCACTGCATGGAGGTGGAGTTGGGGCGATGGAGCGGCCACCTCCATCCCTCTCCAGAGGCTGCCTTTCCCCCAGCCCTTCCTCACCGTGTGCTAAATCTCCTTGCCTGTATTGATGGAGAAATCGAGTTTCGTAAATCATCATGTGGTTCACACAGGCGCTAACGTCAGATAAACTGCCGACAGCCTCATTGCAACAAATCATCGCCTGTGGCCATGCGGCTTCTCAGAGCCCCGAGAGAAGAGCCGCGGAGCAGTAAGAACCAGTTACACGTCCCAGGGGCTGCCAGAGCTGTGCTCTCGCCACTCAGTGCCTTTGCTCACAGTGCTGCCTTCGTTTCAGAGAGACCCTTCTCTCCACCGCCAAACCCAGCCAAGCTGCCTTCTGTGAAACCTCCCCCGCCCCCCGCCGTGGCACCAGCAGGAAAGCAGCACCGTCTTTCCTCAGCCCCTGCCCTTGCAGCCCTATTCTATGCTTGTCCTTCCAGCACGATTGGTTTGGTTCCTTATTGGACAGTAAACTGTGGGCAGTGGCGAGCCAGGGAGTGTTTCTGAGCAGGGCAGAAACCCAGTCAGATTCGTGCTTCAATCAGATGGTAATGGAGCATGGAATTCTCAGGAGAAAAGCCAGAGGCTGAGTCACCTGCAAGGTGGCTCCTACAACGTGAGGGATGATGAAGTTGGATCCAGTGTGGGGGTGGTCAGAATAGAGAGTATTGACTTTGACTTTTTTTTTTTTTGAGGAAGATTAGCCCTGAGCTAACTACTGCCAATCCTCCTCTTTTTGCTGAGGACGCCTGGCCCTGAGCTAACATCCATGCCCATCTTTCTCTACTTTATACGTGGGACGCCTACCACAGCATGGCTTGCCAAGCGGTGTCATGTCTGCACCTGGGGATCCGAACTGGTGAACACCGGGCCACCAAGAAGTGGAACGTGCGCACTTAACCGCTGCGCCACGGGGCCGGCCCCTTAACTTTGGTTTTAATGCATTCGTATGTTTTACTTGAGAAACGAGATTTAGATCTCTTAATCGGCAAACCAGGAAGGCGTTTTGTGGGTCGGTTAAATGAGATGAGGCATGTGCAGCACCTTGCCCGAAGCCGGGCACATAGTAAGCCTTTGGTAACCATTGCCACTTTTCACTCCACCCTCCCCAACCCTGTCCCCACAGCAGCCACAGTTCTGGGTTCTCATCATTCAGGATTCCCCGGGAGAAGAGTGATGTGGAAGCAAGAGGGCAGAGGACTCATCAGTTACAGGTGAGAAAGACTGACCTACATCGAGGCAGGGGGATGAATGGCCTTCCCTCCCCTGCCGCCCCGTGGTGTAATATATCCGCTCATCCAAGACTCGATTTTAACCACAGACAACAAGAGGCCACATTTCTACACTACAGAAGGTTGTTAAAATTCCTGGAACAGAGACACTTTTTAAGAGACAAGATTCGTGACGGTCTTTTCACAAGGAAGGAGAAGATTTATGGCAGGCAAAGGTTCTGATGTGTGCTGTGTCCGGTGCCTTCCCTCCTCAGGATGGGCAGGAGGCGCGACACCATGGGCGTCTGGCTGGGTGATCTCTTGAGGCAGCTCTGGTTTCCTTTGTTCAGGCTGCTTCAAGCCCGGAAAGGCCAGAATAAAGTCGCCCTGAGCGGCAGCCACTTGCTCACGCTCTCGGCATCTTTGCCTTTTTAATCTGCAGTTTGGAATGGTCACACTTTCCCCTCCTACCCCATAGGGCCTCTGCTAAGATTGAGGCAAGGGAAGGGAGCCACAGCCTGGTGTTGTGAGTCAACCCTAAACACCCAACCCCGTTGGGTACAGGAGCTTCCTTTAAAAACACTGACCTGAACCTGTTGCTTATGCCTTCACTGCCCTGACCACAGCCTGCGACCTGTCGCATGACTTTGGGTCCCAGCGGGCTCTGGCCTGCTCGTGTGACACACCTTGTCCCACGCCCTCCCTTGCTCCTTGTACTCCACCTGCACTGGCCTTCTTTTTGGTTCACTTAAGATACTGTGCTCTTCCCAACCCAGGCCTTCAAACACAATGTTCCTCATCTTTACCTGTTCACTTTCAGCTTCCTTTTAAGATTCAGCTTAAATTAACTTCAGTCACTCGAATCACAAATGTTCATTGAGCGCCTGCTATGTGCCCGGCACTGTCTTGGATGCTGGAGCCAGTAGTGAATAGAGAGGCAGAGCCCCTGGTCCCGTGAATCTCATATTCTAACAGCAGAGAGACAGAGAGCAAACGAGCAATGAATGAACGAGGTAATTTCTATGGTGGTTATTGAGAAGGCAATAAAAGTGTAGTGGATAGGGAAGGTTAAGCTCTCTGGAGGGTCGTGGTTGGTGGGAGAGGGTGGTATGCATTGATTGGATCTCCTCTTAGTGACCTGAGCTGTGACGTGATTGATAAAAAAGGATACTCCAGAGAGAGGCAGCAGCAAGTGCAAAGGCCCTGAGGCAGGAATTAGCTTTGTAAAGTCAAGGGAAAAAAGGAGGCCCAGGTTCCTAGGGCACAGTGATGAGACAGAGAAGTACACCACAGGTCAGAGAGGTGGGAGGGGCAGACCACGGCGGGCATGATCCGCCAAGGGGAGGGGGCTCAGATTTCAAGTATAAATGGAAGCCACCGGAACATTTCAATTTACATTTTTAAAAGGTTGCCGTGGATGCTTATGGCTGGCAGAGATGACAGAAAGAAAGCGTGGGAGGAGAACCTTTGGAGACTCCGACAGCAGGTGAGGTGCAGATGGTGGTGGTATCGGTGGAATTGGAGAGCAGTGGGTGGATTTTAGAACAGGAGCCTGTGGATCTGGTCCGTGGGTTGGATGGTGGGCTGGAGAAAATGGAGGAGGCAACAGGGAAAGTAAGGGGGGAACACCCTGGGGAGAAATGGAGATTTCAGTGTTGGCTCCCCTAAAGGACTTTGTTACAGAAGGCGTCCCAGTTCCCGGGTCCTTGTTGGAGCTCCCACAGCAGCCTGCAGTTGTACTTTGCAACACTCGTAACACCTGTCATTTGTCACTGTTTGTTCAGAAAATGTCCCCCACTGGACCTGAGGGGAAGAACACACCTGGCTGGTTTAACCCCGTTTGTCCAATGCTTGCACAGTGCCTGGCGTATAATTGTAGTTTATAATGGAATGGAATGGATGATGTTAACATCACTTACAGAGTAATTTCACTGCACCGGGTGCTATTCTGAGCACTTTACATGTCTTAACTCATTTGATTTCCACAATTCCCAGAAATGGATACTACTGTCATGACCATTTGACAGATATGTAAACTGAGGCACAGAGCAGGTAAGTAAACTTGCGTAAGGTCACATAGCCAGCAAATGCCAAAAAGTACAGCTATTTTACAAGCGATATATTGTCTGTGCTTCATAGCACCACAGTGAGACACGCTTGCGTCTGGTTTTTGTTTGAGGCGAGCGAGACATTAGCCAGTTGGAGGGTGAATATTGGAAGTAGGGTCAGCGGGATTTGCCCCATCCGAGGCTAACTGAGAAAGGTGCTGTCATGGAGGCAGGACAGCTCCAGGGCTGAGACCACGCTCTCTGCTGCCAGGCTGGCTTCATTTGAAACGCATCGCCACATTTTACTCGCTGGGTGGGTGACCCTCGGCCAAATTCCTTACCGTCTCTGTGCCTCAGTTGCCTTGTCTGTAAATTGTGGGCACTGTTAATCATACCTGCCCTCCTCTGGGCTGGGTGTGATAATGTGTGGGCTGCACTTAGAGTAGCGTAGCTCTTACGGGACGGCACTATGGTTTGTCTACAGGAAATGCTAAGGAGAGAGGGTTCTTTGCTCCCCAGTCTTCCCCCAAGGGCATTCATCCTGGATGAAGAGTTCGAATCAAAGAATCATTGCGGTTAGAGTGGGTAGTAACCTACACTGCGCAGTAGCTGTCCCACTCGGCACAGGCTTTCTTCCGCTCCCGAAACGTGGTGGGAGTCGATGCTCGGTATTCCTACTCACAGGTTTCCACGTGTGCACGTTTTTCCATGACAAGCTGCAGAATAGTTACCTTATCCTTTCCAATCTTTCTAATTTTTCTGGCCACAAGCCTGAAGAAAATTGTGTTAAGCCTTTCACGTTAAGCCCACACATTGTACTAGCCCAAATGAATGTCGCAAACTGTGAGCGGACTGCAGGGGGGCTGCCTGTGCAATTCATTTGCAACTTAGAGACAAAACACAGATGAAGGGGAAAAATAACGAATTGATTTGCATGACCAGCAGGTACTGCGTTAACATTTTGGTACATTTGTCCTAGTGAAAAATGCTAACGGCCCTTAGAAGCTGTGTGACCACCGTCAATCTATCTGTTCGTCTAAGCCTTGGCTTGCTCCCAGGCCGCCCTCTTCCCTGTCCAGACGCCTCTCCCATTCTCTGACCCACGTGCCGACTGTCTGCTGTGCAAAGTAGAGTTCACTATTTCCTAACCTGCTCTTGCTCCTGTGTCCCCTGTGTCCACTCAGCTGCCCAAGTCAGAGGCTGGGGACACCCTTCCTGCCGTCCTCTCCCCTCCCACGTGGCTCATCTCCGAGTCCTGTCAACCCCCCTCCTCCCCTTCCTGCCCAGATTTACTGCGGCCACTTCAGCTCAGCCACTTTCATGTCTCATCTGCTTTATGGCAACAACCCCCCAGTTAGCCCCTGACCCCGACCCCTGCTGGGCCTTTCTAATCTATTTTCCTCATGATAGCCCATGATCTTTCCAAAATCAAAAAGGGGCCTTGTCGCCCTCCGGTTTTTAAGCCCTCAGCGGCTCTCCATTAGCTGCCATCCGAGTCCTGCTTCTCTGTCTAGCCTCATCTCCAACCCGTAAGTTCCTCCACGGCATACTTCGAACCGTACATACTATGCACAAGGCTCTCAAAGCATGAGCTGAAGACGGTGGGGTCCCCAGGGCCCTTTCACGGGGCCTGAGGTCAAGACTCTATTCATGATAATACGAGGACATTATTGGCTTTATTCACTTTCATTCTCTCGTAAGTACCCAGTGACGTCTTCCCGGGCTGCCTCACGTGTGATATCGCAACAGGTCAAAGTCACAGCAGGTAGGACCTCGCTGGCTCCTATGCAGCCAGACAGGAAAGAGATTTGCAAAAATGTCAATCAATGCCAGCTTCTCACTAAATTTCTTTTTTTTGAAAATGCATTCATTTCTCATAAAACATTTTATTTATGTGAGCACATAATGGGGTTATTATTATTTAAAATTAATAAACACATATTTTAAATTTTTTACAGTTTTAACTCAATGCAGTACATATCAATAAATATATCCCACATAAACAAAATCTTTTTGGGGGTCCTTAATAATTTTTAACACTTTATATAAAGGGGTCCCAGCACTAAAAAGTTTGATAACTGTTGCTCTAGCCCAATGGAAACACCCAGAGTAGACTCTCTCTTTCTTCTTCCGGCTTCTTTTCAATGCCTCTCCCTGACGGGGTACCTTCCCCCTCGCATAAACTTTCTCCTGCCCCCTCTGCCTGCCTCATGCTTCTGCACGTCTCAGGGTTCAGCGTGAGAGTAGCCCCTCAGCAGAGGCCCCCTCCAGCTCCCCAGAGAAGCCACAGAGCTAACTTTGGCTGAAGCCTTCTCCTATGCCAAGCGCCATAACAATGGCTCTACCTGCGCTTTCTCTTCCTCTGAGTTAGGCTGGGGGAGGGGCAGGAAGGGCCAGGGAGGGGGAAAGACACAATCACTTCCAGTCTACAGCTAAGGAAAGTTAGGATCAGAGAGGTTTAAAAACCACCCAGGTCACACAGCTAGTGAGTGGCACAGTTGGCCTGAATCCCTTCTCTTCCCGTTCTGTCATTGGTTCCTGTGCTTGAGTGTGCCCAGTGGTGTGCTGGTAAATGTTCAACAACTGGCTCTCCCAGGGACCAAGCCCTGACTGGCAGCATTTGGCAATTTCTGTGGTGTAAATATGCCTGTGGCTGCCGGTTTCAAGCTGCCAACGTGACATTACTGAGCACAGAGTTGGGAGGGCATGTGCAGTAGCATGCATCCTAGAGCATTCCCCCCCCCCACCCCACGGATAGAATCAACATAAAAACTCAAGAGCACAGATAATAGCAAAATAACTAGGAATTACGGTGATGAGTTTTGAGGATTTTGAATTTGAGTATCTTTGTTTTAAATATAATTAAACATAATTTATTTAATTGTGGCTTTATATAATGTAATTTTTAACAATGGCCGTGTTTAGAAGCCAGCTCACAAAATTTGTGAATGTTTAACAATTGGCTCTGGTATCTCAGAATTAACTTCTCAGCGTTTGAAAAGCTCTTCTCCAAAACTACTCACTCTAACTCTCTGGAGGGTTGGGGGGCGGACCTGGGGACGTTTCCTATTTTTACAGCCCCTCAGGCAGCATCAAGCACAGAGAGAGTCATTTGCACATTCTTTCCTTCATTCAAGTTTTCAACCCTCATTTCTTAAGGGCCTGTGTTGTGCCAGACGCTGGTTCAGGGTGCCAGGAAGATGATCCAGAATAAAACAGAAACATCTCTGCTCTTGAGTTGATGTGCCAGTGGAGGAGACAGTATGTAAACCTGGAAGCAAAAATTATACACTGTACTTGTAGAGAGCAATAACTCTCTGAAGCCAATAAAACATGGTACGGGACAGAAAGCGAGGCAGGGGCCACGAGTGGTAACAGGTCTGAAGCGAGAGCAGGCCAGCGGCTTGAGGAACAGCTAGGAGGGCAGGGTGCGGGGAGCCTGAGAGAGGTGAGGGAAAGGAGCTAAGATCCTGAGGAGGGCGGGGCTGAGCAGGGGGCCTGGGGCTGAGGGGAGGGGCCGAGAGGCTCTGCCCTTCGCTGGCTCCCATCCCAGCACTGCACGGGCCCTTACTGCAGACCCACGGCGGCTTACTCTGCTGCAGTCTGAATGCCCGCCTATTGTCCACATTCCTCTCAGACTGTCCATGTCGTTAGAGCAAGGCCGGAGTCTATTCCCAGAACCTGGGGCAGAGTCTCATACATCATACAAACTTCTAAATGTTTGTGCTAGAGCAGAAATAACAGCAATAAGTCAGGGCTTCTCTGGCTCAGCTCTGACCAGCCCAAATTCCTGGGATAGGAAACCATAAGTGCCAAGCACGCAGGCTTTGGCATCAGATGGGCTTGAGTTTGAGTCCGGCTCTTGGACACTTAAGTTAATACACAGCCGTCCAGCTTCCCCCGTGTAGGAGCACTAGCATGCACTTCGGAGGATAGAATCACATGCAGTCATGGTTTTTGTCCCATGCTCAGCAAAGTGTCCTGGCCACATAATCTAAAAAGTTCACCTGCCACTCTTGGTCTCTTCATCCTGTGTTATTTTTCTTCATAACCCTTATCACTGCCTGAGGTTATATTATATAATATTTATGTACTTCTTCATTGTCTCTTCCTCCTACCCTCCACCTCACTAGAATGTATGTTCCATGAGGGCAAGGACTCACTCTGTTGCATTCATCTGTATATCCTCAGCACCTAAAAAAGGCCTGGTATCTAGTAGACCCCCAGTAAATATTTGACAGATGGATGGATGAGTTGGGTAGATGAATGGACGGATGGATGGAGATAGGTAGATGGATGGATACATGGATAGATGGTTGAGGATGGACGGAAGGATGAAGATGGATGGATGGATGGATGGGGATGGATGGATGGATGGTTGGATAAATGGATGAATGGATGGAGAGCCCAATATCTGTTGGTTATTATTAATAACTTC